TCCTAGTCATCCCATCATACATGGTTGGAAAACTACTCTGAAGAATTTATCTTCCAACTTGATTGCCATCAGGTGCTTTGGAAAGTCCTACCTGTTAACGTGAAGTGTTTTCAGAGACAAACTGCTGCAAGGTTAAACTAGTCCACACATGCAAGTCTCATCCAGAATTTCCCACACAAGCCTTCTGGTAAGGTTGCAGAGAGCTTGAATGTTTTCCATCTTGTTGATACGGGGTGTGGTTTTAGAGACCTGCAACTCCTTGAAATTGGGTATATTTGAATACAGAGCATAATATAAACATAAGGCTGTGGATTGGTGTGAACTGGGAGTGGTTACCTGTTGCAGAGATTGGTATCAGGAAGATGACCCAAACCTGTGGCACCCTGCCCTAAAAATGATTTGAACTCCGGTGCTACAGTTCTGTTGCCTGGCTCGATCTCCCTGTCTGTGCTTGGGTGAACACTTGCTGACTGAGACCACGCGTGGTTTGAATTAATTCCTCACCAGCAGGAAGTATTCTGCTAGAGCAGTAGTCGGATGATTAAGTTTGTGGCTGGTAAGTGAGGCTTGGTAACCTGGCTGTAGGTGGGAACTGCATCCAGACCTAAATTGACTCTGTTTTCACGTGGGACTTAGCTATGGTCATGGTGGTGGTCTTATTTGTAAAGGAGTGGCAGTCTGTGACCACGCTGTTGTTTCTGAACCTGTGTTTTTAGTCTGTTACAAATCAGCAGTGATATTGATCACTGGTTTTGTTCATCAGCATGCAGTGAAATACTTTATAAGGCTACAGCTCTAAATGCAAAAGGCAAATCTCAGACCTGCAGCAGTCGAATAGATGCACAGTAGGTCTTGGTGGCAGCTGGTGACCTGTTCTTACGGGCAGTGTCATAATGCTGTTGCATTTTGCCTTTTGAATGATGCACGGTCGACATAGCTTGGTGCACGCTGGGGTTTTGCAGGTAAGGACTAAAACCTAGCAGAGCCTCATCACTAGGAGATTATATTCACTGTATTCGTTGGTAGACTTGGCGTTGCCCAATATCTAGCATTTAATTGTTCTGTGGATTAGGATGTGAAAGGTTGCACAAGGAAATGTCAGTCTGACTGGAAGTCCTGTTCGCAGGTGGGTCGAGCAGCTCAGCCCACATGAAACGAGTGACAGCAGGGTTGGAGGAGCAGCAAACTCAGTAAGCTTCAACAAGTGTAGCCTTTTATTGCTCCAAGGGTGCAGGAATTGAGAAAGGTGCCATTTTTTATAAGGAGTAATTGATAATAATTTTGAAATAATTTTGATCTCTTTAGCTTTTTAAGAGGCAACATTCTGGCAGTGAATCTGCTACACCAGAAGTCACCCTCTTGCCCTTGCTTTGAGGCTTATGTAGTCTGTATTATGCCTGATTTCCTCTGGTCCATGACATCTCCCATACAGGTCTTTGTCTTATTCTCTTAAACAGTTTCTGGACTCTTTTCCATTTTGCTCCTGTAGTGGAAAGCTCTCCTTCCTCTGATCTGGTCTCTCAAGCTGCGTGTCCTTTTTTAATCCCACTCATTCCTGAAAAAAGGCCTTCTCTGAGATATTCACAGTATCTGAGTCAATATTTCTCTATTTCTTTTTTTATTAACAAAAACAGTCATTCACAATTCAAAGTGAGTAATTCTGTTGCTGTGCCGTGGGCTTCTCTCACAGGAAGATCAGTGTTTCTGAAGTGCATTTCCAGTCTGACGTTCTTTTATGTGAAGCTGAAGATATTTCTTCCATTCAAGTTCTTAAGCCTCTCTTCTCATTTCAGTATAAAACTACCTCTCAGAATATATTGACCAAGTGATATCCCTATGAAGACAGGCTGAAAGAGTTGGGGCTGTTCAGCCTGGAGAAGAGAAGGCTCCAGGGAGATCTTATAGCGGCCTCCCAGTACCTGAAGGGGCTACAAGAAAGCTGGGGAAGGACTTTTCATAAGGGCAGTTAATGACAGAACAAGGGGAAATGGGTTTAAACTGAAAGAGGGGAGGTTTAGATGAGATATTAGGAAGAAGTTCTTCACTATGAGGGTGGTCAGACACTGGAACAGGTTGCCCAGGGAAGCTGTGGCTGCTCCTCCCTGGAAGTGTTGAAGGATGGATGAGGCTTTGAGCAACCTGGTCTAGTGGAAGGTGTCCCTGCTGCTGGCAGGGGGGTTGGAACTGGGTGAGCTTTAAGGTCCCTTCCAACCCAAACCATTCTATGATTCTATGATAATATAGTGACCAAGTGACCTCTCAGAATATACTGTCCAACGTTTTTCATCCAAAGCTTTTTTTCCTTCATTCTTTTCCCAGGGAAACATTAACCACTATTTAAATAAGCTGTGATCTGATATTCTCTCTCTCTCTCCTTTTTTTTTTCCTCCTCCCTCCAGAGGTGCTGAGCTAAGCGTGCTGAAATTTTCCTGAACTAGACCTCACTGTTGCACATGGATCACTGTGCTGGTATGGAGTCCCATGCTTGTTTTGATCGCCTGTTTTTTTTCTCTTTCATTTTCTGTGTTGATTTGGAATTGTATTTTGAAGAATAACCTTTGTTCTATATTCAGACTTGTTCTTTGATCCACAGCGTAGTGTCTGGATGTCTCTGGACTGTCCGTCAGACTGATTCTTTTGGGACAGATCAGCTCAGGTTGTCTGGAAGGGCTCCCATTCACTGTGTAGGCATTGTGAGAAGAGCGTTGGTGTCAGGACTGTGGATCTCTGCTGAAGAAACCAGAACTGGAACGTGCTGGGGAGCTTTTGCTTTTTGGTGAATGGCATTTTTTTTCACACCTGATGGTGTGAAGATGTGTGATGTGGTGATGGCAATTGGCGGATCTGGTCTGAAGAGCAGATCTATTCTGCAAGGATCCTAAAGTCTCCTGAGCAGTTATTTTTCCCAAATCCCCCTGCTTCATGCCAGTCTCAGTTTGTGGAAGCAGATGAGGGTAACTGTGTATCATGCAAAAGCTGTGCTTATTCTCTGCTGTAATTTCTTACCTTGCTGAAGCATGATGTGTTGCCCAGAGCACTCTGGGATGGAAGAGGCAACATAAATGTGGGATTACTGCTCCATGGGAAAAGGGATGAGTGTTGGCTCCAAGTTTTGACGTTTGTTCCTTCCTGTATAAATCACTATTTCAGTTCAAGCCGTAGTAAAGACTCAGATGAATCCTTCTGCTAAAGGACTTCAGGCATTTTGAAGTACATGGCAGAGCTTCCAGGGTATAGTCTTCATGACAGAGTCCTCTCCTGTTTCCAATACTGAATGAGTTTCATTTCTTTAGAGTTGCTAAAGATTAACAAAAGAACACTTAGCCAATTTTACACCAACTTTTTTTCTTTTGCAGCTTTTAGTTTGATGGATATTTTTTTCTTTGCCAGGGTACCTACTCGCACAGTAACCATGCCACAGCAGTTACAGTTCTGTTTATCCTCAGTAACAAGTTGCACTGCTGTTAATCTGAATTCCTTTCCAGGGAGGAGAGGAGTTAGAAGTTAGCCCAGACATCTTGCACAGCTAGACAGACTGATGCTTTTCTTTTGCTTCCTCTGTTTATTATTATCATTATTATCCTTAATATTGAAGCTTCATTTGCAGATTGTGCTTTGGTTTGGGAACCTGGTTCTCTCTCTCAGTCTCAAGGCATTTCCAATGTAATCAAGAACCCTTTTGAGATGTTCCAACTCCTGTTCTGTGCATATAGCATTTTTCTCATTCAGACTCCTTTAAGCTTTAAACTTGGTTTAAATATTTCTTCTAAATGTAACTGCACTCTCACACTAGTAAATTGTCTGGATCCTTTGGTGTCAGTTAAGTAGCTGTTCTGTGGCATGAGCTTTTCTGCATGCCTTTCCCTTAGACATCCATCATGGTGTTCAGGAGTGGACTGCTGCTTGTTTGGGAATGATTCTGTGATGTGATGGAGAACTTAATTTTGAGAGTTTATCTTAAAGCCCTAAATATTGTTATTTGATTCATCAACTAGATTGTGTGTTGGAAGCAAGTAGTTGTCCAAACTTTTCCTAATATAAAGAGCTAAAAGATGTTGATTAATCTGAAACTTCCTTTCAATCTCTTGTGTGGCTTTTTCCCCCCATTTCTGTGTTGCCTTCTGAAATATTTTTTTCCTCCTTGTCCTTCATGGCTTTTTAAAATTTCTCTCTACCTCAGCTTTTCATTACTGGAAAAACTTCTTATTTGGATGTTTGAAAAAAGCAAAGTAAAACAGGGAAGTTCTTTGGCCAGATGTTGCTGTTAGGTGTGGATGCCTCTTTTGTAAGTGTTACTGTCTGGGTGAGAAATCCAGGACACACAACCATCTGTTCTTCCAATCCCTACAATGAATGTGGAATTTCCTCTTCCGTGTGTTTTCCATTGCTGTTGGAACAGTAAAACAAATTTGAGGCAATTGTGGTCACTTTTTCTGCATAGAATATTTTTAATCATCATAATAGAGAATCTGAGAAAGCAGAGAATTGGGAATATACTCATCTGAAGCCTAGGGGAAGAGAGACTCCTCAGAACATGCCTTTTTACCTCAAATTGTGGTTAACTAAGTCAGTTCAGAATCCCTCAAAACCTCTTCGCGTGAATACACGTGTATTTTTGTGTGTGGTCGAGGCATTAGGAGGCAGACACGTGGTGAGGAACTGTTTGGTTTGCTTTAATGTGAGAGGAGTCTGCCAAGCAGGAGTGAGAAATGCCACCGCTGGCAGCGGGCAGGCACGGCGCTGGACTTGGGGGCAGTTGGTTTTACTCAGCACAGTTCTCATTAAAATAAGAATGCATAGGATATCAGGGCAGAAACCTGGATATTGCTTCACGATTGTTACATAATTCCTTGTTTTGCATGAGTTCATGACCTATTGCAGCCTTATTACAAACAAAAAGTCAAACCAAACTCTCTGTTCTCTCCTCGCAGTCTTCCTCGGCTACCCAAAGAAAACCCTACTTGCCCCGTAAGAGCAGCACGGCGTCACAAGCCAACCCGATGGCGTCCTCTACTGCTGTGCCTGTAGGATTTCACTATGAAACAAAATACGTAGTTCTCAGCTACCTGGGACTTCTAGCACAAGAGAAGCCACAGGAGCATCCTCCTCCTTCAACTGAAGGTAATATTTGCATATTCATCTGTGCCTAATTACATATTGCGATGAGTTCTTCAGCTGTTTGTGCGTGGATGCAGGATGTTAGCCTGATGTTTGGTGTAACGCCTCTCTTTATTTTAGTCATTTAAATAATGGCTCTAGATGCTGATGGAAACAAAGCTGTTTGTATTTAGATTACTGTTTTAATTCCAGCTACGCCAGGGCTGACTGGTGTTGATGAAGCAAATAAATGGTTTTAGTAGCTGTCTTGAGGTTAGGAGGGATGGATATAATTATCTTTGTTGAGCCATCTTGAGAATTTAAACCCATGCTTGGTTTTTTTTTGGGAGGCCAGTGGAAGTAGCATTTACCAGCGTATACTCTGAGTGATGACTTGAGCAATCTCATGTGCTAAATAGTTTTGCCCTATTAATGTTAACGCTTCTGTTGTTGTCAGTCAGTGTTGGCGTTGAGATGTGAGGCTTAACCTGGCCTATGCTGCATGTATTTATTTAGTCTTAAGAAGTCAAGGACTGCATGGAGTCAAGATAGAGTCAGATGTTTCTTCCAGAGCAGGTTTATACATTATAGAAGGTTAAATAAATAAATAGGAGGCAGAATAAAAGATGTTTGATAGATTGTGTTTTGCATAGGTAGTAAAACTTTCTTTATTTTGTGGTGGCAAGCACTTAGTGTTGTTTGTCAAGATTGTTTTGGTGGCTTGTAACTTCTTCATGACATTTCAGTCACTACTAGTTCCTGTGATTCAGAACTCATTCTGATGAAAGGCATATTAAAAAAAAAACCAAACCAAAGGCCATCTTCAGAATCTTTTTTAACAAGCATTTAAGAAAGCGTACTCTGTCATTTATTGAACTTACTTGTCATGAATAACATCAAAGTTATGACAGAAATTATTTTATCAGCTGGGTACCAAAGCATTTAGCATATGCTGGTTATATTCTAGATTGTTTATAAAATTAATCTTGGTATATTTAAGATATGTCTGTTACTTCTGCTTTGACTGCATCTGTGATCCATGAAAGGAGAGGCACCCTAGTGCCAAGATGCTGTTTCATAAAACCCTTTGTTGCAAAACGTGCTTGTTTTAGCAATAACATCTCATTCTGAATATCCCATGTGGGATAACTGGAAATGTATTGAGTGCATACAAAGCTACAGTGTGGAAGAGTCTGTTTTGTTCTGTAAATGCAATATGCAGAAAGGAAACTGTTAGTCTTAATGGGGTTTTTTATATATATAGATATATAATTTGACTGTAGTTACCTTTGTAATATTTGAAAATTGAGGGGAAACCTTTCCACTGATTCTTATTACTGAAACCTCTAAGAAATATTTGAATTAAAGAGCAATATTATCAACTTTATAAAGAGGAAGCTACAAATGCTTAAATAAAAATTTTGTAGTCAGTTAAGAGGACTCTTAAGCTCCTGAGTAAAAATAACCGTTGAGTCTACTTTTCAGATATTAGTTATGTTAGCTTGTGGGACAGCAGGCTGTAGTTCAATTTGCTATTAAAATGCTATAAAGCATTGATACCTTCCACATCTGTTCTCTCATCCTCACTGCTCTAAACCTTCCCTTCCAAACCAGAAATTCTCATACATTTCCCCCACCCTCACTCACAAAACCAGTGTCGTGGTTTAACCCTCGCCGGCAACTCAGCACCACACAGCAGCTCACTCACTTCCCCCCGATGGGATGGGGGAGAGAATTGTCAGAGTGAAAGTGAGAAAACTCTTGGGTTGAGATAAAGACAGTTTAACAGGGAAAGCAGAAGCCCTGCACACAAGCAAAGCAAAACAAGGAATTCATTCACCGCTTCCCCTGGGCAGGCAGGAGCTCAGCCATCTCCAGGACAGCCGGGCTCCATCACACCTAACGGGGACCTGGGAAGACAAACGCCATCACTCCAAACATCCTCCCCTTCCTTCTTCTGCCCCCAGATTTACGTGCTGAGCGTGGTGTCATCTGGTCTGGGACATCCCTCTGGTCAGTGGGTTCAGCTGTCCCAACCGTGTCCCCTCCGAACCTCTTGTGCACCCCCAGGCTCCTCGCTGGTGGGGTGGGGTGGGGTGAGGAGCAGAAAAGGCCCTGACTCTGTGTGAGCCCTTCTCAGCGGTGACTAGAAATCCCTGTGTTACCAGCACTGTTTCCAGCACAAATCCAAAACACAGCCCCGTACCAGCTACTGTGACATTAACTCTATCCCAGCCCAAACCAGCACAACCAGACAGTGACCTCCTCTCCTTGTTGTCTTTCACTGTGATTAGATCTCTCTCTCAGTGTTTTTACTGCTTTCCAATCAGAGACTCTGGATACAGTAATTTTCCTTTACTTTTAACGTGCCATGTTGTTTCTCACTCTGTTTTGTAATGCCTTGGATGGACTTCAGGCTGTTACTGAACTAAGTGCAAACACTTTATCCTTCTGCTTCAGGAGTTGTTTCATTCTTTCCTAACTCATTTTTCCCGGTGCTTTTTCTACTTTCAGTGCTTCCAACAGCTTTCAGTTGTCTGACAGTTACTTTTTAAATATCCTTTTTTCTACTTTCTTCCCTTGTTGCTTGTAACTGAACAGTTGTTTCAGCTGTACTCTCAAGGTGTGTGTGGTAACAGCCCTGTGTTTGTTTTGAAGTACTGTTTGCAGCTTCTTTGACTATTTATTTAATATATATATATTATATATACTGGCTGTATCTCCTTGTTGTCTGGCACGTGGCTGATGCCTGCTTGCAGAGAGCTGTACCAAAGTACTCTGCTCTATATTTTCCCTCTGGGAGCCAACAAGAGAAGCAGCAGCCCGTAATGGATATCACCTGCACTGCCTAATGCATGGCTGGAAGGTAGCTGGCTGGGTGTTCCAGTAACAAGTGTGGTCTGAGAACCCTGGTTGGAACAGAAGAGATGTGAAAGCCAGTAAATGACAAAGAGAAGCTGTTGTGGAGAATCCTGTCACCAGGAGGAAACTTCTGGTTTTTGGTAACGAAGATGTATGAGGGTTAATAACAGGGTGACATTACATCATGCTTGTCAGTGAGTTTTTCAAGCACTGTCATCAACCCTTGATATGATAAACCTTGACTGATCCCCGTGTTCCTTCCATTGATGATTTTTGTGGCACTTTAAAACACTGGTCTTCCTGCTCTCTGTGGCTGAAAGCTGTTGATTTATGAATTGAGAGGATTCTGATAAAAGGACTTGTGTCTTAATCTTATTTTGCTTTAATTTGGTTATTGTGCTGACAGACCTTTCATGGGAAGCAATTGGAGCAGTGAATTTGGCTATTGCCTGTTCCTGTTGTACTTGAAGATATGAGCCACTGACTCTGGTATATGGTACTTTCCCTTTTCTTAGATCCAAATCAGTCCTTACTCTTTGTCTGATTTCTGTATCACAATATAAGGGGAGCATCCAGAAAAGCTAGTTTTAGTTTGTAATGTTGACCTCTTTCATCTCCTTCTGTATGGGAGAGTGAGGGGCCCCTCTAGAAGGTGGTTCAGAGCAGGAGCCTCTTTACAGCCACCTTGTGTCACCTGCTGAAGGATCTTCTCTCCCTTCCTTGGGTGTATAAAGACATGGGGAAATAAGGCACACAAGGTGTAGTTAGTGTTGTTATCCCTCCCTGGAGTTTCCTCCTGCAGCAGTCTCCCAGGTTTCAGTCAAGTTTCAATGCTCTAGTTAAACTAGAGAATGTATCTGATGGGTCAAAAAAAAACCAACCAAAAAAGCCATCTTTCCCAGCAGGAGTGGTGCTATTTTATCTCTGCTAGAACTGGCAGGAGAAACTGAATGCTTTTGTCCCTTCTCCTCCCTTTCCTCTTATAGTCATCTCCCCCAAACCTCTGCTTTCGTGCCTTTCAAACTAGAGAGTTCTTTTTCTGATCTATGTCTTTTTGTTCCAAAAACTTAGATAAGTGTAAATCTTTATGATGTTTGTTAGATTTCAAGTTAAAACTTCTCATTTTTTTTTTTGCAGACATAATATGTTTTATGAGACTGATGGTTTTCAGAGGGATTTTATTTAGTGAAGAGAAAACTCAGACAAATTACAGAGAAAATTACCTCACTATATTTCCTTTTGGATCTCTTGGTTGGTCTTGATTTTGTTGCGAGAAAGTTACAGGAGGTAAAACCACTTCTGGCTTCAAGCAAAGAAGGCTGATCTGAGTCAACATCCAGTTGCTACTCTGAAAGTTTTATTTGGAGAGCTTATCTTCAGTGCAGGGACCGAAGAGGGAACCATCCACAGTGTTCCAGGCTCGTGAAGAAAATACAGTTTTATTGGACAAACCAACCTTTTAACATTACAGCTCTGGAGATTATTTTAGTGTAGTATTCTGTAGTGGATTTCAGTGTCTCCAGAGGAAAATTCAACAAACTTAACTGGGCAACAGTTTGAGAGATTATTCCTATTACAGTTTTGGCAGAATAATGATTCAGCATAGTGCTTACTTCAATTTATTTAAAGCAAAGTCCGTTAGCAGTAAATTCTCTTACTTTTTGGTAGGTTTTAAGGTAGGTGGATAATATGAATTGCTCGAATAAATCTGATAAAACACACACCATAAGATGTCATCTGTGCAAGTTCATCTTTGAGGCAACAGATGAGGACAGTTAATTAAAGTGTGTGAAAGCTCTCAGTTGTCCATTCATGATGCTTTAGTATTTTTTTCAGAACTCTTGCAGTATCTATAACTCCTGGTGCATACACAGAAAATAAATGTCAGGTATCAAAAAACTTTACTGTATTTTTCCCTCTAAAGTTCACGCTCATTATAAAAACTTCCAGTCTGATGCAGTTGTTAGTACTGCTTACTTCTTAAGTGAGTCCAAGTACTTTGATTTTGTGATTCAGTATGTTTGTATTAGAAATGCTCCTTTGAGTTTCATCAGTGAGTGACTTTTAGTGTATTTCTGTTTTTTTTTTAATCTACTCCCCCGTGGTTTGACCCATCCACCAGCCTGTGGCTATGACAAAGATTCTGAAGGAAAGTAGTTTTT